AGGCCGGTATAGGCCCGGGGTCCTCCGGTGTAAAGGGGGGGTCTACCTCCGGGATACTGGGCGACAGGATGGGTGACGGGGGACCTCCCGGCCGGGATGGGTCCGTCATCATAGCTGAAGTAGGTGGTATCTGCCCAGCACGCCGTCCCGGGGTACCGCTGGAGTAGGCCGCACGTGTCTGCGCCATGCCGTCCGGTGTGGGAGACTCCCCAGTCGACCGCGTTTTGTAGAAGAAGCGCTGGATATACTGAGCAAGGGGAACAGAGCTCCAGCAGCGTGCGTCTTCACTCGACCATGTCTTAGCCACGCCCCCAGGATTGTCAATGTTAATGAAATAACTATCAATGGATGCTGCTCCTTGATGTTGAAAAGTTTTAGTTTTCGGCAGAATTAGCTGGTCCCCTGATTTCCTGTTTTAGAGTAGCTCTTTTTCTCTTACAGGGTCTTAAAGAGCAATGATTGTGTATAGTAGTAAGCACTGTGTCTCCACAAACACAGGCACGGCAAGGCAGGTCACTTCCCTGCTCGATGCTTCCCGCTCCTCCCTTCTCTGAGCAAGTAGATGAACAGGCGTTGGAGACGGCTCTCTCTCTCTGATATTTTACTGGAAATGAAGTTCAGGGAAGCAGAACTGAGAGATTTGGAGCCAGCTGTTTAGGAACATGCTGACCGCAAGTGCTTGGGCAGAAATCTAAAGAAATACTTTGTTGGGCAATATACTGTATATTTGTTTGATGTGGATTGATCATTTTTTTTAAAAACGCTGGATTTGGAAAAATTCTCCAATTCAGCTCACTTTCCAGTTCAGCTATGTTGTCCTAGATTGTTCACTTCTCCTGCCTTCTCCTAACTCTTCAACCATTTGTGAATAACCCCGTTAATGTTTACAAATTTTAGTATGTTAGTAGACTATGAGAATGAAGAACACTATATTGAACACTATATTTTTTTATATCATGTGAAGAAAAATAGGATTTTTGTATTTACCATAAAATCTATTTCTTAGAGTCCATTGAGGGGCACAGGAATTCAGAAAGTCAGGGTATCCTGCTGCTTACAGGGGGTGAAAGACCATGCCTAACGGCAGAGTTACGACTGCGCATGCGCATAGGCCTGTTCACCACATTTGCGGGAAGCAGCGGCTACTGCGCATGCGCAAACGGCAGCTACTGCGCATGCACAAACGGCACATGGCGTACAGGAAGTGACTTGCTCTGTCTGGGAATGATCCTATTTAAGCTGGCCCAACTCCCAGGATCTTTGCTGAGTGGTCTTTCAGCTTTAGTGTGTATTCCTGTATCTTGCCTGTTGCCATATCATCATCGACCGGATTCCTTGACCTTGCCTGACTGCCGCCTGCCTCCCACTTCTGCTTGTCCCTGGATTCTCCTTTTGCCTTCTCCTTTTGTACCTTGCTGCCCGATTGTTGCTGACCCTGGCTTGCCTGACTCCGCTCTGCTCCAGCCGCATCAGCACCTTCTTCCTGCCTCACTGAAGACGGGCCTCAAGGACCTGCCCAGGCCCAGTGTCCTGCATCGTCCGGCACCGGTGCTGCCCGTAGTTTCCCCACCTCCTGTCTCCACATTCAGGGGTGTGGAACTCGTGCTGCAAAGGAGGCCTCCTCACAACTCGGCTCCCCACCAGGTACGTGATAGGGGGTTAAGCATACTGGCAAACAAAAAAATTGTAAGCCAGTCCTTGTGAAATCCTTCCTCTACCCAGCATGCTTTAGTTTTGTAAAAAAAAAGTAGTACAAGGGCAAAGCAAAAACACAAAGAGGTGGTACCTGTGTTTCTTGATGGACTACATGAAATAGATTTTACGGTAAAGACAAAAATGTTTTGGTTTTTTTAGGGATGCACAGATACTTTTCGAGTACCAGTGCCGATACTTGGCATTTTCATGAGAACTCCCGGGGGTTGCAGCGGTTGCAGCTGGGACCGGGGCTCTGGCGCTCCACCACTGTCCTGAAATCATTAGTCTGTATTGTTTTAGAAAAACTGTCACATGACAGTAAACAAAAATGTATCAGTACTCGTACTTGTAAGTACTCGGCAAGTACCAGTACTCGTACTTGCAAAACTGGTATCTGTGAATCCCTTTATTTATATTTAAAAAAACAAAATCGTACATTAAAACAGAGATGTACAAATCCCAGGAGCTCCGTGTGCTCCTTACAAATGACAGCTGCCTCCTAACTTTTTATTTTTTCTCTAGTCTAGTCTTGGAGCTCAAAAGTATCGGTACATGTACTCGTACTTGTACCGAGTACTGTACTTGGTATCTGTGCAACCCTAGTTTTTTTCTTTCCCATCCTTTAAATAGACACAGGGATTCAGAAACAGTCGGGATGTCCATAAGCAGTGCAGGTGAGGGTTGGCCAACAGCCACTGACAGATCTAAGAAGGGACTAGAAATTATCTGCAATTCAGAACTACCTTAAGGACCAATGCCAACAAATCTGAACCAGATAAGGTGAAGTCCCTGCAAGACAGGGGCATCCGCCAGTAACCAAGGAAAGGACACAGAGGATCAACCTGATGTTTAGACCAGGACAGAAGTGATTACTACCAAGGGGATTGACTCCACCAAAAGGAGCACTGAGTCTGCACCAGGAAGAGGCTGTGAAACCAAAAACCCACCCAGGTGAAACAACATAACTACCTGATAAGAAAGAAATATGCCAACAACCCAAAGTGGTCAACAGAAAATAACCCTGGGATAAGTCCCCAGGAAAACAAGTCCCCAGAGGATGCCTTGGACAGATAAACATGTCCACAAGAGAAGACAAACCAGTCAAGGGCTTACACTCCCAACCCTTAGGATTCATGGAAAGCAGGTTCCATGATAAGGATAAGGTTGCCTGGTCAGACAATCAATCTTGGAAACAAAGTAGCCAAGAAATGTGAGAATCCTCACACTAGTAGAAAAAACAAGGTACCCTTCTAACCTGAATGAAGAAAATAGGGTAAAGTCCACGAAAGACCTCACTGCTAAGAACACACACCTGATTACGGACCAAATGGGGGAAGAGATCTGAAGGAACTGAGACTGCGGATCAGACATGGAAGGAGGACTGATCGCCAGGTGATCAGGTTCCACAAAGGCCTTCAGACATGCTTTATCCCCAACAGGGGGTACCTGCAGTAGGGTCCAAGAGCCCGCCTCTGATGATTACTTCCTGCCATGCAGGAGATGAGGAGTACCAAACCTCACCCTTAGGTGTGGAAGCTACCAGTTGAGGAGTGCCAATGCATTATCTCCAAGGACGACAGTGCAGTTAAGAGTTGTACTCACAGCATCCTCCAGCGCGAGGACCAGACTACTTTTCCTGTCACAGGGAGAATTCCCAAACATTCTCAGAGGTGAAGGGCCCACAACCCCTAAGTGATGTGCAGTGGAGTCCAGGCCAGGAAACTGCTCACAGAGGGAGTTGAGAAATATGGGACCAACGGGTCTAGGGAACCAAACTTACACCTAAGGTATGGGATAACCCCATCAAGAGGAGCTGTGGAAAGAAACATACACCCTAAAAGACTGATTGATCATGCCAGGGAATTCTTAGTCTATACAGACAATCTAAATGTCTCACCCCGAGTGCAGGCTGAAAAAGTCTGAGAGACACCGAGAGAAGGGAATACTATGTTGGAGGATATTCGCTTAACCTTATACATGCCACAATAAGTAAGCCCTCACGGGCAGGGCCCTCCTTATCATCTTGTCTTGAATTGTATTGTGATTGTAATGCATTTCTTATATTGTAAAGCGCTGCGCAAACATAAAGCCTGTATAATAAAAATAATATTAATAAGAGAAGGATGGGACATGTTCCTGTCAGTTAAAGAATGATACAATGATCCACAGTGTGTAGACTTCTTTAGTGAGTGTTTGAGCTGAACAGCCTTGCCTGTGGGTGGCCAATAGTTACTAATACTAGGCACCTGTGAGGCCCCATCTGACCAAAGTTTGCAGGTGTTAGGGCCTTCAGAAGGGTTTTAAGGGTCTATAAAAATGGACCCTCCACAATGAGGATGCTAGGAAAAGGTCACTAGGATAGACATAAGTGGCACCGCTCACTTCTCCACTGTATCTAAAAAAGAAGCTATGGTTGTCACCCAGGCTGAACTCAAGCTGTTGCTATATCTGCCATATATTCAATTTTTTTAATATTTGAAAATATCCTTTAACCCTTCTCTACTCTATCCAAAACTAAAAAGAATAGTGTTTGCTATACATACACTTTATAAGCTAATAGAAACTACTATTTTAGATCAGTATCACGCCCACTAAGCAATGTTAATGGTTGACCTGCACCAAGTGCTTGTCTAATAAGGGCGTTTTTACTGGCTCTGAAGTAGACTCATTGGACTGCTGAAAGGTATCTGGCAGGTATTACCCATGAAGTCAGGTTCCAGTAGCAATATGAAAATAAATCAAAGAAGCATACCATGGGGATCTTCTGGCTAATAAATGAAATAGCAGACATCTTGTTGTCATGAAATTATCACTTTAAAGAGTATTTCCGCTTTCTCACAAAATGTAAAAAAATTAACTTACCCAAAGCATTCTGCCATCTCTGCCCACCCCTGCTATTCATTCAGTTTAGCTGCAATGTGAACAACCAGACCCCATCCCCCCAACCCCCCCCC